ACTGAGACGAGCGATCACTGGAATAGCGTGCCTCGTCAAAAATCTGTTCGTTTGTTCATTCGAGCTTTAATAAACTTGTACATTCACATTCATTTCAGCAATGCAGTAGCAATACAAATAATAAATGATAGCACTCTCGACGGATTTTATATATGAACCATATGGGATTTCATTTTTAGATCGCATCTCTGCCAATTTCATATTTGATGACTGAAGTAACTCTCATGAATCGTCACAAATACACCACAGTTCCTTATCTGATTATCTTATCAATTTACCTTGTGCACAACTCATTCATTTCTTGAGAAAAATGGATGGTTTAACAAAGCCGTTGATGCGAGAATAAGCTTCCAAGTACCGGGTTGAAGTTGTCCCACTTCAAAATGGAGTACACGGTGATAAGATCAAAAATGCATATGCGACATTAATGAGCATTATGTCTGACGCAATGAATGGAGGAAGTGCGGTTGCACGGGATATGGCATTTGATGTCTCAAAAAAGTGATGCAATGAAATAGATTGTAATTTCAGCAGAAGCCTGCAAGCATCATACAATAAAAACTTGAAAGCAGAGAAAACTCCACAAAAAATCATAGTATCTTCAAAGAAAACGTTTCGGAGTCGAGCTCCATCGTCAGTTCGAAAATTCTACACAGATAAATCACTAATTAATACAGTAAAGATTACAACAAAAACCTAAGCTGTAAAACCTACCTATTTACAATTTCAAGTGGGTAAGAGCTAAAAGCTAAATTCAAACTAGGCCTCTGTTTAAAAATATACAATAATTCTAACTGGAACATCGCACTGCTCGGCATGAGATTTGGTGCGTGTCAATGATCATACGAACACGCGCCATCATACAAATGGCGCGTGTCAATGATGTTTCAAAATAAACAGTTCTAGTTAACCATCTGAAGAGAAAATTAATTCGTTATTAAAAGAATATCATTTATACAGTATATACAAATTAAAAATTACAATAAATATTAATACCATGCATGCACATTTTGTGTTTATTCATGAATATACGAACAATTTTCCAAGTTGTGGAGCAGTATCAGGCATATAAATTGGCGTATAATGATGACATGTTTAAATTCATAAGAATGTAACAATTTGCCATAAAAACTAAATATTTCAAGTTAAAAGACAAATGATTGCCATCTATATTTTTGAGCCAACAAGTGCTACTGGGTGAGTGATGCAACGAAACACGATACAGGAGATATATACATATCTTGCAAAATTGGCGGGGGTCGCTACTCAAATGGTAAAAAGATGATATTCGTTTCCGATAAGGTAAGTAAAGTGGAACACTCGATCACTGGAGACATATCTGAAGGTCTTCTCATGAGAAGAAAGACTACCTCAAGGTTTAACATTCGCATGATTATATATGTACTAAAATACGAGTCATCTAAAAAATTTACACTCATTGCATGGCAGACATTGTGTGATACATGTTTTAGTCGTTCATCACTCGACCCTCCCAACCTATAACGTCAGCTAGTTCAAAATGATGGAAATTCTAAAGCGAATTGATAATCTTTCATTACTTGAGTGAGTTTACCAATGAAATATGAGTAATTCAACGATGTTTGGCTTCTTAGAAAAACGTCTTCAAAGGGCAATTGACGCGGGCAATCTTCGAAGGCGGGCTTAGAAATTAGCAAGGCAGGAATTTGTAGCAAAAGCAAGGAATACATTTTAACGAATTGTATTCGTTAAATATTTTAATTTATTTTCAACAATTTCATATATTTCATTGAACGTTTCTTAGGAGCAATTTTTCATGTGCAAAATTGCGGTACAATTAAAGAACTTACTCCACCAAATTTGATATAAATATAAGTACTAGCCTTCCAAACTCCCTCCAGCATTTGCCTGAATGATGTAGTCACTCTTCGTATTAGGCTAGGTCGGCTGTCCGGTCAGCAGATCTTCAGATGCCGCGCTAAGCAGGTCTCACCTCAAGGTCCCAGCATCTTGCCTTCAGCAGCTTATTACGCAGCACTGCAGTTTTGATCTTGGATTCTTGGTACACTCTCATTTATGCGCGCGCTCATTTGTGCTTTTTCGCGATTTGCTTTTCCCGCTTTGGCGCTCATTTGTGCTTTTTAGCGATTTGCTTTTCCCGCTTTGAGTGAACTGCACACTAATTAACGGGAAGGCAGTTATAACGAGCAGCACGCGGTGCAGGCCGGCTTACTCATCTTGGCGGGTGGCATTGCTGGATAGATAGATCCAATGAAGTGATTAGATCTTCGTACTGAAGTGATGGCCTGTAGAAGGTGAGATCACGATTCTACTTATGGAGTGATTTTCTTCGCAATCCAGTAAGGGATAAGTTACCGATCATCTAAGCACGTTCAATAAAATAAAATGCTTCAACGTCTTTGATAATTTCAAACTTGAATATTTATAATTCCAATTTAAAGTATCTCCTGCAAATTCTAAATGTATTTCGTCCGTGGAAACTTTCTATGCTTTGTCAACAGACCTACAGTGGCACTAAAGTCGGAAATGCTTGGTAGAAGCCAGGGTCGGAAGTCAACGAAGTCCTCTGCCAAGTAGTTGCATAAAATAGTCGTCGAATACCTTGACTTCAGTAATTTTTCTCGTAATATTGTGCACTTCAGAAGCACTTACTAAGCTTCCGTTTAATAAATTCAAATTCCAAGTTGTTCAACGCGCGGGCTCGCACGCAGAACGACACGCACGCAGCCGGCCTGAGCGCGCCTGTTATCAGGAGGAGATAAAAGCGTCCGCTGAGAGCTTCTATATCATCGTCTATGCGCCGGGTCCCGTTTGCTATTTTCCCCCTTTTTGGCATCGTAACTAAATGCAAACTTATTGCTTGCGTAAGTCGAAACCCTACGCTCACAGTAATATAATTTAGAGCTAAATTATTTTAAAATTATAATAAGTAATTGAATGCGAAGAAATTTCATCGGTCAACACGATCACTAAAAGAAATTAGAAAGAAACCAATAAACTAATTCATTTATTTCAGATGAAAAGCGGATTTAGTTTTTCCGCAGACCATAGATGGGAAAAGAATCGCGTCTTGGCGGAACTGTTATTTTTCATTATAAAATAAAGTTTGTACTGCTAAAATAAAATAAGTTTCATTATTGAATAACTAGCAGACTTCAAAGCACAGCAAGTCTCCCGCCGTTAATTCATCCTTGATTTACAATGGAGCAACGAGGATACGTGAATACAATATTATTAAGTAAATAACTCAAGCTGAGGATCTTCGATCCTCGCAGGGATACTCAGGATCTTAAACCTAAAAAGGTATTTAAAGCCAAGATATTTCAAAACCAATTTTAGCCGAAGGTCTCATCGGATCTCAGAGAAATACTTTGGCTCAAAGTAGATATTAAAAAGATTTCATGCATATACTAATGCCAGTTCATGTGAGTTTTCGAATTAAAGTAGGAATAGTATTGTCCGTAAACGGGGAAATTTTGTATGCTTTCACAGCAAAGAGTTGTACTAAAATGTATTATGTTACTAAATTGTACAACATAAACTGTTTAAAGATATTGTTACCTGTATTAGCGTGCGTTGCAAATGAAAGTACAATAGACACATAAATAGCACATCAGTTCATGGTTTATCCTTGAAAAGCCACAGTTAATAATACAGCTACTATAGAGGCTTGATCTTGAGCACATTCACTAATTTATTGCAAGCTGAACCAATCTTTAGCAACTTCAAAAGCTTCATTGACAAGACGAAACAGATAAACAGCAGCTCGATTGGGACATTAATATCGGATGCATGTACCAAAGAGAAGTTCTCTTGCGTGGTTGCATTCAAGTCGATAGAACCTCAAATAAGATCAAATGACGGCGTCCGAGGTATGTTCTTCGTTACACAGCCATGAAAGGAGGAACAGAAAGAACTACTGATCGATGTGGTCACTCCTTCGCTTCTTCTAATCTCAGCCAGAAGACGCTTGAGAGTAGGTCAAAATTATTGCAGGCTAAAACTTATATGATGAATAAGACACAATATTTTGTCACACTTGTTTTGACAAACTTAAAATAATGTGTTGGGATAAAAAATATTTATTGAAATTATTTACCAGTGCATCATTATCGACTTGAGAAAGTCACTATAGCGCTTGATCGAAAAATAGGGTACTTCTGATGCAATAGCTGAAGCTAGCATCTCTGTCTCAAAATAATTCGGTTTATTGTGGCAAAATATTAATGATATTTTCAACCACCGATTATTAGTTACCATATTTCTAAGCACATGTTACTTCCTGTTGAGTTTCACACACCCGAATACCTTGTTGTTTCGTAGCTAAACTACATAGCTACAAGCATAGCTAAACATACAAACTCATTCTCTAATTCCAGCTGTAGGACGACTTGCAGTAACCATTCATGAGTAAAGACGTGGCACCATTTTCGCAACTATTTGTTAACGAAACACAGGCAGAAGTCATCGTGAAAACCAGGGCCGTGGAAAGTCTCTGGTTTTGCGACTCCACATTGCGATAGGTCAGCTCATCAACGAGGTCATAGTAAAAATTGTCGAAATATATCATGATTAATCACGAAGTTTAAAAGACACGTGAGGCAAGTCCGTATGTTTTATGTCATAAACACGCATTTTATTGATGCCATAAAACATGATATTTTTAATACGTATTTATTGCATCAAACACGCATTTATAAATTTTCATTTTACTGAGAATAAAATGAAAAATAATAAAATAATATAAGATCCAGCGAAAGTCTCCCGTTTTCTCCTCACATGTAAAATGCTGACAGAGAATGCGAGAAAACCTCGAGTTTTCAAGCAAGCAAAATTACACAAGACCTGCAGGTTTTATTTGGTTTATAAAATGGCAGAAACCAATAGCATGAGTCAAACTGAAAAATTAAAGTCCAACGTCCAAAAATCTTAAATTTGAGAATATAAAATCAGAAAATTAATCCTTTTTGAAAGTGACTTTTCCGTACGTAGGTACTCACCTCCTCCATCCTGCTGCACAAGATATGGAAACCTCCAGACGTTGCCGAGTCCCACCGACAGTGAGACACACGACAACATGAACTGAGTTTTCGATCCCCACGCAGCTCGTTCAACCTCTGCCACCGGCACGTCCAGAGTCACCATGCCACCCTCGTCGTCGTCTTGACGAAGAGGCGAGAACTCAACGTGGACGTCATTGTCGTCCAAGCCTAAACTAGGCTGGAGACCCGCCGATCGCTTGGAACCTTCCATGTTCCGGAGATTCGAACTCCAACACCCAAGCTAATTGAACGATGATTAGGTATGATCCACTCAGCACCGAGTTTGTAAAGGTTCCGTCCACGTTTCAATATTTTAAACAAAATTAATTAATAAAAGAAGTTCTTTAAAAATCTGAAAAATTTGAAACCACAAATGCTGATGTGAGAATTTGTTTACGATTTCATTTGTGAAGATGATGCAAACTTCAATATTGGACGTGGAGCTGCGTAGAGCTAAATTTAGATTTTAGTTTTACAGACCAATGAGACCATATCCAGACATTCCAGAGAAAGAAGTTTGTACATTACGGAATCTTTGAAGTTTCATGTACCAAATGAACTACAAATTTTTTTGAGAAAATAACTCGGCAAACCCCGTCTTTCATCATATACCTACCTACTCATATAGGCTAGCTAGTTGCAGATAAATCAACGTAATTTTGAACCATTCAAATTTCCCAATATCATCTGAGCATCTAGATCTACTAGGTGGTCCTAGTCGCTCTTTATTATGAGTAAATGAGGTCAATTTTGCTTTACAAAGGAAAACTTTTTCGATTCGGTGAATGGACAAAATTTATATGGCTTCAGTCAGTTGACGAGAATGGAATCATCCCCTCGGTATTGGTGGTTTAGACATTTTTGTGTAGATACTTCACTAGTTACAAAAACTTATCCAACATGCATCCGATTTTAATACTGATTCTCTCAGCATTGAGAAGACATACCGCCACGTGAAAATAACTTGAACATGACTACGAAAGAGAAATAGGCTAAGTTATGAAAATAATAATTTTAGAAGGGGCTCCAGCATTCTTCCACGCATCATAACGCATGGGCTTTAGTGCAGTGCATAAAACAAAAAATAGTTATATGTAACAGATAAAAATGCGTGCAAAATAAGTTTCTGTGTTTAATATAACTACCTACATAATTTCTTATTAAAAAATATTTCGACTAACATGTGACAAAGTGAAGGTAAACGCACTCGCGCCGGTAGATAAAGGAGCGGCACACACCGCCATTACACACGTCCCAGCTCACACTGTGCCTGATGCTGCGCGCCGCCAAGTCGTAAAATCCGCGCGCCAACTAGCAACCGATAGTGAACGTGGCGTTCTTCGAAGGCGTTATTCCTTATAAATTTGATTTCGACAGACGATCTCTGGCTAAATGAACTCTATATCTGCATCCAAGCAGTAATATGACAGAGATAACCTAAGAGCAATGAATGATATCATACCAAGACGTGAATCTACGTAGCGTTCAGCGATTACCGCTTACTTGTTTATATATCTCATATATTTCAGTAGCACGCGGGCTGGAATACCTAATTTCAACTTTACCTGTTAGTTAATTTTATGTGAATAGGTGAATAGTCAATTTGTCCTTTAAAATTATTGGGCCGGATGCAACAAACATATCACGTTCTATTTGAAAGCGAATTTAATAGTAGATATACTTTCTTACATAGCTATCATTTCTTGCAATTTTAGTTTTTAAAGGCCATATATAGAAGCGAGCATTTTCCTAAAAGCGATGCTGCAGGGTGGTGTTGGTTTGGTCGTTACTTGACTGTGAAGGTAAATTGTTTGCGCGGTGAAGCAAATTTTTGGCGCGAACAGCTGGAGCTTGACACACTTTTTCTTACATGGATTATCTGGGACACGTGATGGGACAACGGTGATTTTTTGAGGTGCCCAGACAAGCACCACACAGTTCTCTAAATGTATCCCAATATAAAATTAATATAAGTTTTCCCAAGTTGTGGTAGCGAACTACTGGTGGTGCTCGAGGGCTTTGCAGATGGTAGTAGGCAAACTTTGAGATCATGAAAGATGTTAATTTAGGTATTATATACTTGATAAAAATGTTTACTACATAACTCACGATAAGCTGACAAAGTTTTAGCGACTGTTATTAGACACCCACCTGCTCCCAGCGGCCAACCGTTATATTCGAACATTGCCCATACTTTATGCTGAAATTATCAGTCCATTAAGTAGAATAAAATACTGCCAATTAATGTATTATACATTCCTAAAACTTTATTCATTACTCGCTTTATTAGTTTGTTTGAAGCCTACCACTGGAAATCTATATATGTATATATAACGGCTGTTGAGACCCAAAACCACTATACCAAAGAGGTCGGGATATTTCCTGAGAATAATATTTTGTTTTATAGCGGAAAGAACATGACATTAAAAATGGGAAGAGGGGGTTGAACTAAAAGAAAAGGGAAATGTGATTATAACCTTGTTTATGTAAAATTTATTTAATATCAAAAATGACTGGTTTTTGAATGAATTTTAAATTGGGTGTAAACTGAGAGTTTCATTCAGTGACGGTTTTTCTTTGATTAATTTCACCTAATCTCTATCTGAAAATAAAACTCCATCAATACCTTTTGAACAGAATAAAATGAAATCTATTTGCTCACTCACAATTCCAGATAATAATTGGGAGCGCAGCCATAATTGTGTGCAGGGAACTAAGTTTTAGCTTACCACAAACCAGCACACGCCCGTAAAATCTCTGAAGTGAACGAAGTCTTAGGGGGAAGTGTAAGTGACCGGTGCTGTACATACAATGCCGCTGCTCATACGGCTTGTAGAACCTCTAAGCATCATTCGACTAGTGTCATATTATGCTTAATAATTTCGTAATGAATAATGTATAATCCTTTGACAGTATTCCTTAATAGTCTACGTTAACTTTCGAAAATGTAACACTTAAATAAAAAATTTACATTAAACTCCAAATTTTGGAATAATTTTTCTTGTCTTTAGAGGGAATTGAAAAAAATTAATTGAAAAGTCCCATGAAGAGGACTCATTTGTCGGGTAAGCATAAAAGAAAATCATAGTCGGGCAACGAATTTTCCAGAATTTGATTTTTCGCACAGCCCTAAATTGCAAGTGGCTGATATGCAGCATTTGTGAGCCACGCTGTTGGGGACTATTCAGTAAAGTTGCGATCGTTAGGACTACGAAATCTTCGAGAAGCACGCGAGGATCACAAAAGGTAAACTATATCTTATCACAATTCACCTTTAATCAACATAAAATTCTGAAATTCATGAAATTCTGGCAAGGGCTGTTTGCACAATTAGATTGTACCTGTGTAGTCAGTACTGCGCACTATTTTACACTGCCTTTTATGTCGTCGTCTTACGGTAGTTTTCTGCACAAGCAGAATTAGGCTAGTCCTAAAATTGTTTGACGTCAACGAGCGGCCGCCAAGATAATGCGCGTACCAACCTAAGCAATATTATTGATAGTGGCCGCATTAGTCTTTCATATATGGTTTTAGGATCGTAGCCAAAGAAAAATTTGCACATAATTTTCCTAACAAAATATCGAATTGAAAGAAAATTGGTCTGAAGCAGTGATACAATCAAGTTGAGTCATGCAGAGAAGTAAGAGTTTTCAAGCCATCACGGTGTGAGAAGAGACCAACAATTCTAGGGACACGGTTGCTTTAGTTTAGAACATCACATGCACTAAAGAAAGGCTTTGAGAGGGATAACCACACGACGCATTAACATGCTATTAGTATAAGAACAACGTAAATAACTCCTCAGCCTTGATTGGTTGAAAAGAACGCACACGCCTCCGAGCTCAACAAATCATAAGCTTGCACGAGTGTTCTGTGCGTCACACCTACCCTGCTGGCCAATCATATGACCGACTTAAATATTTGTATTACTGTCCCTTGACGTGACCTGTCATGTGTCTACAGTTCTTTTTTATGTCAGGCTAAAAGCATAGAACATTTATTTAGGTTTATGTTCATCTTTCGCCTGCTTAGCTCGTCCTATGCTACCGGTTCTCAAACACGTAATTTTCGCAGGAAAAAATTTCTATAAACTTAGCCCGACAATCAAATTGAAGTACAAGCATGGCTAACCAAAAACCTACACGTGTTCGTTCAATAATAGTAGAGCGGGAGGAAGCATATGCACGGCGCGAAATATAAGCTCGGATGAAGAAGAAACCATAGTTGCTAAATTCAACCAAATTTGGAATTGTTCAACCACTACAGTTTCAAAAAATACACCCATACGATATTATTTAAATATTTATATCGAGAGAATATAGTTCTAAAAATTCTTTTGGTGTGTGATTTTGAGACACTGAATTTAAAGTGACTAACTTGGTGTGTGATATGAATAATAATGTTTTGGGAAAGTTCCACTGGCCCTTTACTGTATTCGCATCATGTAATGGAGCGATGAACATGTGTGTACAACAAATATATATTGATGAGTGGTTAGAAATTACAGTCTTGTAAAGCGAAGGATCATTTCTGAAGTAATATGTTAGAGACTGAAAATAAGTTTCTACTTTACATACATAAGATTAGTGCAAATCGCATAGTCTTAGAAATGAGCAGCCTTTTTAGAAATGAACATGTTTATTGCATGGGAATTTTGACATATATGTTTTTTTCGATGGGATTTCGACGACATTATATTTACAGTCTAAATTCTCTTTCATTGTCATATTGATAATTTTCCTAATATTGACTTTACACAATCTCGCTTTGGCAATAGGCATTTATTGCACGCACAATAACAAAGCATCTGCATTAGAATATTGGAGTGAGCAAAAGCGCACACATATACCTGTAGGCTATTATAAGTATACCTATTGAACTATTGTTATAGGTATACCGACTCACCATGGTTGCCAGATGGCCTAAAAATGGCTAAGGCCGAGACAAAAAAGGCCTATTATTCAATATTTACTAGTAAATTTGTAGGTTCCGGTCCAGAAATAAAATTGTATTTTTTCTTTAATTTAATGATCGAGGAAGTGCACCATCATAATTTTTTCCGGCCAATGTAATTAAAAAAAAACAAATAGCGGAATTTGTCCGGAAAAAGATACCCTGCCGTACTAAACGTGTTGAAGGCCGAAAGAACCGAGAAAAGCGTTGTGAAACACGCGATGCGTTCGACTGCACCATTTTCGGCGATTTTCAAAACCATTTTGTTTTAAAAGAATCTTTAGTCACAATATGTTGTTTTACGAGATTTAACTTTCCAAGCTCATGATTCATTATACTGTATGTTTAAAAAAGCTGCTCTCAATATGATTGATACGTTGTTAACATTTAGTTATGAATGGTTAATCTCAGCTAATGCACTCCTT